CCTTGCTCTACAGAATGGTGCCTCAAGCTCGGCGAATGACATGAAAGCAAGGGAGTTATTAACAACCAAACAGTGTTAATATTTTTTAGGACCCTGTATATGAATGCTTACCGAATTTGCGGGCAATAACCAGTGTAAAAAAGCTGGATGCTTCCGCTTTTACCTAGGCGAGTAACTAGCCATCTGTCCATGAGTGATCTAGCACTTCCCAGTAGCAAACAATATATGAAGGAGGTTGAGTCAGTATGTGGAATCAAGAAATTGTATCACAGATGATATCATTAATAATGATTGAATCATACGCCGAAACCTAGTTACTTGCAATAAATTAGCGCGTGCCTATTCTTTATGGGTTTGTTTTTTTGGAAGTTTTCGTTTGAGCGCTGTTGAAGCTTTGTATGTAGTCGGTTACCAGGCTAAGGTTTCCAGACATCTGGAGTTAATGCATCTCGCGGAACCAAAAAATCTATAGTAGCGTTGATTAAAATATTACGAGATTCGGCTAATTGTTATAGGTTAATCCACTCGCTTTGATACACATTCTGATAATCTACTAGCATGATGTATACAGGGTGTCCCAAAAAAAATGATAACACTCTTTGATCGTTAATGACACCCCTGCTTTCATGTATTTCGCCGACGTTGAGGCACCATTCTGTAGAGCGAGGTTCAGCTTAGATTTGTAGTATGGATCGCACCGTTCGCTTCTCGACAGTAGGATTACGGTAGGAAATTCGACAAGGATCTTAGACCATTAAACGCCACTTTCTGCCTCGGAACAGAGCCAAACAAGCCAAAATCTCTTGTACTACGGTAATGGAAGCTGCTGATTTTAAATATAAAATTTGCGCTTTACCATGATGCTTCTTTTTGAAGTTTCCTAGGTAAACTATAATAAATGACTTAACAGCATGTGTCAAAAATGTGATTACACTGTCAAAAAAGCTAAAAACAAGCTAAAAACTCGTAGAAAGTTGTGTAGTGGAATCAGCATATGCGAAAACCGTAGTAAACGATTTTTCAGATTTTTTGAGAAAAAATTTTGTCAGATGACATATTTCACAACGGCTCCACGTGCTGAAGTTCTTACCGTAATTCTACAGTAATGAAAAGCCATCGATGACTCGCTCCATACTATAAATCTAAGCTGAACCTTGCTCTACAGAATGGTGCCTCAAGCTCGGCGAATGACATGAAAGCAAGGGAGTTATTAACAACCAAACAGTGTTAATATTTTTTAGGACCCTGTATATGAATGCTTACCGAATTTGCGGGCAATAACCAGTGTAAAAAAGCTGGATGCTTCCGCTTTTACCTAGGCGAGTAACTAGCCATCTGTCCATGAGTGATCTAGCACTTCCCAGTAGCAAACAATATATGAAGGAGGTTGAGTCAGTATGTGGAATCAAGAAATTGTATCACAGATGATATCATTACCAAACGTAATCATAAATAACTAGCTTGCTTACCCGGCTCCGCCCGGCCCTGTGAAAACACTATAATAAAGGTCCCATCCCTATCCCTGTACAGCCTTTCCCTGTGCCCACTTCTACACTTCATTTCCCGTTCCCTGCGTTGTTTTCGAAATCAGCATGCCCACTTTCCCCTCCTGTGCCAACTCCCAGCCCTGTAGCTCAAACTTTGCAAAAAATCGATAAAATCGATAAAAGTAATGGACGATTTCAAAAATAATATTGTATTCGTAATCAGCATGCTCGATTACCCCCCTGTGCAAACTTCCAGCCCCGTAGCTCAAACTTTGCAAAAAAATCGATAAAATCGTTAAAAGTAATCGATAATCCTGAAAACTAATATTGTATTCGGAATCCCCATGCTCGATTACCCCCCTGTGCAAACTCCCAGCCCCGCAGGTGAACTCAGCAAAAAAATCGATAAAAATCGATAAAATCGATATCGATCGATGACGAAAAGTAGCCTATGACACCCGCCGGGGCCCGAAGTGCATGTGTGCCAGGTTTGGTCCGGATCGGTTCAGAAATGGAATTTTCTATTCGGAACATACGTACACACATACAGACATACAGACAGACAAACAGACATTCAAGATAAACATCAATGAATTCCAGTCCATTTTTTTAGAGCTCCAGGTAGAACCCACACGTTGACAAGAAAAAAAGTGAGATACTTCCTCAACACTTTCGTAAAATTGTTCGTTGATTATCCATTTTCATCAAACTCTAGCATCCTTTTTCTTCTTCTCTTTTTCTTTCATTATTCTGCCTCGCAGAGGCGCAGTGGTCCCATACATATGCCTTACTCATTTTCGCAATAATGACATTGTTTACTACCGCGCTATGCAGACTATCAACGAATGATTAAAAACACTGCTCAGTTCTGAAGCTTTCTCATGTGAGATCGGTAATTTCGTGTGAATGAAAATTCCCCAGAAGAACAAATGCAGATTTAGGCCTGTATGCACTAACATTTCTGCGGCGAGGGGAACGGCATCCCCCGTTACGAAGGGACCGCGTGCGGACGCCGCTGCAGCTTTTTCATCATTGGGGACGCCGCTCCCCTCGCCGCAGGGATGTTAGTGCATGCGGCCCTTAGATCGGTTTTTGGACATTTCATGGCTTAATAGTCGTCTTTAAGAGAAAAATCAGCGCAGGCTACGCCTCCGTGCAAAAATCTTCACAAATGATTGGCAAATTGAACATTTACGCAGCCAATTCTTTTGGGTGCTGTCCTCGTAAAGTAGTAGACTTTTGATCACTTTTTGGGCTGAAATTCATGGTTTGCACATTTACTTGTAGACATATCCATGACTTTGCAAAAGGTTTTTGAACGGATTCAATTCTGCTGGCGAAAATTCCAAAGGATACCCTCAACGGATCCGCTTGTGCTTTTGCACAATGGACCCGCATGCTGTTAGCATGTGCTGTGCAGAAATTGGGCCCAAGAAATTTCCTGGAACGCGCTCTACGAGTTTCGTAACGGACAGACAGATACACAGACACACAAAAAGATGTAAACAACCCTTAGCCCATTATTATAATTCACTAGTTGGCTTTCCCGGTCCAGCCCGGGCCATTGATCATCTGCACAGCGAGCCCCCTCCCCCTCTTACATGTTATGGATGACTTACCCTAAGACATCGGCTTCGAAACCGCGTCCTCGCAATCCTGAGGTAAAAATGAGCTTCACCGCCCTCCTTTACATGTCTATGGGAAAATCTTGATTAAACATGATAAGCCTCCAATTTCTTAGAAGAGAAGGATCATCCATCGAAGTGAGGTTTCCGCACATGATGCATATCATTCTGCTGCTCTTGCATTTTTGCAAACTGTTTATTATGTATATCCAGAAGGTCCCTAAGGCAAGGAAACGCTCATAGCAACTTAATTACGTCAAATTTCGGAGATAGGAAAAATCGTGCAGAGTTCTGAATTGAGCAATGCTGGTAGATCAGGTGAAACAGATTCAGAATTTCCCACAGATTCAATATATTCCTCGTTTACTCGCGGTACGCCGCGGGCTACTAATTTGAGAGTCCTCTTCAATATTGTTGCTCGTCTAGCTTGTTAGAATGTGGATTTTAGAAACTGTAATCAAATGTTTTTCATTAGATGTGCCTTTTGTGAAAAGTTATTGTGTTTTGAGCATTTTGTGACTAACTATCACACATGCTCATAAATGGTTTGATCTAACTATAAAAACACGTTGATCTGCTTTGATTATTGTTTCAAGCTATCAAACTAGTTGCTAAGAGCGTTTTCTTGCCTTAGGGACCTTCTGGATATACACATTAAACAATTTAAAAATGCAAAATTGTTGCAGAGGAGATCCGAACTCTTGATCACTTGTTCCATAATCTCCCCAGCTATCCACTCGGCCATCCGTCCACATCTGCACATTCTTGGCGCCGCAAACTCGAAGCGAGCCTTAGCCGCATCCTGGGTAAACCATCGCTCATAACTTTTCCCAGAAAGTCACTGAGCAGCTAATGATCACGGATTTGGCATTAGGACCCCAAGAGCAGCAGAATGATATGCATCATGTGTGGAAATCCCACTTCGATGGATGTTCCTTCCCTTGTTAGAAAAACGTAAACAAATCAATAAATCGGTAAAAGGACCTAGCGAATTTTAGTAAAAATTATCTTAAAACCGTCTCCCGGGTCAGGAACATCTGTATGCAAAGTTTTAGCCCAATCGGTTGAGCGGCATGCGTTTCTATGGCTCACATACTCTCCAAACAGACAATTTTTGAGTTTCATACAGGGTGTCCCAAAAAAATGTATCGAACGTTTGATCGTTAATATCTTTCTTCTAAAGCAGTCTTTTCTCCTGCTTCAGGTACCAATCTGTAGAGCTGGCTTCAACTCAGATTTGCATCATAGAACGAATCACTCACTTCTCTTCATTACTGTAGGATTACGGTAGAAACTTCAAAGAGGGTTATAAGCAATGAAAGGCCATGTTTTGCCTCAGAAAGGAAACAAAATAGCCTGAAAGCTTTTACAGTAGGCTAATTAGAATTGTTGATTCTGACTGTAAAGCTCCCAACTTATTATGATGCTTCATTGAAAGGTTATGCCAAGTAAGAGGTAGCGGCCATTTTTTCAATGTTCCTAAAAAGTGCGATTACACCGTTTAGAAAGCTTCGTAGTCTTATGAATAGTTGGGCATTGAACTCAGCGTCCCCAAAAAACCCTATTACACAAGTTTTCACAATTTTTTAAACAATTTCGAAATGGCAGCTTTTTCCACATTTTCACCATATGTTTCAAGTTTCCACCGTAATCCTACAGTAATGAAAGATGGATGATTCTTTCTATAATTCAAATCTAAGTTGAAGCCAGCTCTACAAAACGGCACCTGAAGCAATGCGAAATACTTCCTGGGAAGAGAGATATTAACGATCAAACGTTCGATACATTTTTTTGGGACACCCTGTATATAAAGATTATATGCATATTTTGCACTATGTTACTCAGTTTCAAACTTTTCCTTTTTATAAGTGTACTTGCATCACTTCAGCCAGCAAAAAGACCTACCACGACGCACGAGCATTCATCAAAGAGTCTTTGGCTTCAACCGTGCATGTTCTTGACGAGGAGGCATATGCTGCGGCAGTAAGAAGTGGAGAATTGTGGATAGTCGACTATTTTGCGCCGGTATGCTACTTTTTGATATTTTATGCATATCTAACTATGTGTCTGTAGTGGTGTCCGCCGTGTCTGAGACTCATTGGAGAGTATCATCGTTTGCATTTCCTTATCAATCAAAATGATGAAGTGCTTTCGAAGCTCAAAATTGGACTGATTGATTGCCAGAAGTATAACTACATTTGCCAGCAGGCCGGCGTCTCGAGGTTGGAATTACTTCCAGTATGCAATGGAACTTAATACATTTATGTACTTGCAGTTATCCTACTAGCGCTTTGTATACTTTGGACGGCAAAGTTCACAAGTTTATTGGACATCATGCAGCACAAACAGTTCTGGAGTTGATCGACGTAAGTATATACATCCTTCCATCGTTTTAAAGTGTTTATTGGATTTCTGCAATTTGAAAAGCGTCAAAAAGACTGCTCAAAGACTTAGCGTGTTGATTGGATCCGCTGGTTTTCTACTTAAGTTTCAAACAGTTGAAAGCAGCAAATCATACATCTAACTAATGTTGCAATTTCACCAATTTCACGCATGTGCATTTCAGAATGCTCTGAATCCAGCTGTCGATGAATTAACGCCCGACCAGTTCGTACAACTCGTCGACGGACGCAACAGCGATGAAACATGGGTGGTAGACTTCTTTGCTCCTTGGTGTGGACCCTGTCAACAAGTAAAACATCTCCCTCCAATGTCCTTCATTAGAATAACATTTCATTTAGCTAGCACCAGAGCTGCAAAAAGCAGCGCGTGCTCTTCGCGATTATGATGAGAAAGTGCATGTGGGTTCGGTCGATTGTCAGGCATACGCACAGTTTTGTAGTCAACAAGGCGTCAACGCTTATCCATCTGTCCGGCTATATCCTGCAGTGAATACGAAACGGAGGATGCAAGCATACTAGTAAGTCTATTAAAAAATTGAGCTTGCTTGTAAGAACTCTTGTAGTTCACAAATAGCGGATAAGGCTAGTTTGATGTGCAGTCGAACATGAACCCAGACTTGAGTTCGTCGTGAGTAAGCCTTCTTAACTTGCGAACAACATAAATATCAATCACTTTGATTAATCCTCTAATATTGGGGGAACCGATGGGGTAACTAAATTATTGCGAACGGTCCAAAGACAGCTGAGGTGGGCATGCACATCACAGACCCTGTAACAAAAACGTCTATGACATTTTCAGGTAAAGAAAATCGCGCATATACTTTGGTAGTGTTGAGCTTTAAAGATATTTATCTCTCAAAAATCTTCTTGATACTTTGAACTTCTAGAAAGCACTTATGCAGCTTATTGTAGTAATCAAAACTCAAAGGTGCTTTTAACACATTGACGACGGTGTGTCAAGCAATGACTACCGCATGGGACCGCTTGACACACAATGTGTGTCAAGCCTTCAATTTTGTTGAAATGACTATTATCCTGGGATAAACTCACTCTATGAGCTTTCTACTGCACTGAATCTAGGGATGACCTCTACCTTTTTGTCAGCCTTTCAGAACTACTGCAGATATACGGTAGTGGCAGCATGCGTGATTAGAGTTAAAAAATGTGGGCTGGTCTGTAAAAGGCCTTGGTCCTATAGGGACAACCGGAAATCTGCATGGTCGTCAATGTGTTAAATAAGCACTGAATAAGTCAAAAACGCATGTCACAGCAGACATCACATATTGCAGAACCTCAAAAACCACCTTTTACCTGCTGCTTATTTGAAGGCAGCGTCCAGGCAGATCTGGACCTATGGGGATTTTACGTGGAAAGCACTTTTGGAGCCCTAACTAAAGCACTGCCCAAGCGGCAGCGCAGGTAGTGCTCTAACGGTTGAGATATTCCCATCGAAACTGGACCCCGCGATCGTATTCGCACGATTGATGGCAGTTTCCGCCAGGATCCAGGCTTTGCGCCATGAATCCATGCGAAATACGATTGCGGGGTCCAGTTTCGAGGGGAATATATCAGCCGTCAGAGCACTACCTGAGCTGCCGGTTGGGCAGTGGCTTAGGTAAGGCCCCAAACTTACTATCCATGGGAGATCCCTATGTGTACAGACTTGCCTGGACGCTGCCTTTAAAGGCAGTGTCTGGGCAAAAAGTCGAATTTGAAACTTTGTGCTTACCTGGGCCTATTCGATATGCTGATTCCGAAAATCCACGCTGGAAAGAACGGCGAAAAAGGACTCTAGTGCAGGAGGGAAATCAGCAGGTGGGCGGGATTTCCTCCATTGTAAATTAACTCTTCCAGCTTCCGGAGCAATCTTTTTGATTCCGCCAACCGTCCTGACATCGCCAGCGCCAAGTGCGAACGCTTGACTCAAACCGAAATCAAGAAAAGCTGGGAGCATGAATTTACGTTGGGGGAAGCCCGCCCACCTGCTAATTTATTTCCTGCGTTAAAGCCTTTTTTCGCCGTTTTCGGGGTCTCCAGCGTGGGTTCGGATTCAGCATAGCGAATAAGCCCCGGGTAAGCACAAAATCTCGAAATCGACTTTTTTCCCAGAAATTGCATTTAACTGCTGGTGTTTTTGTTAGGTGAAACAAATCGAATTTCGGTTATCGAGCAGCACGTAAGTTCGGAGTGATAGACCTTTCAACTGTTGGAGAAAAAACCTCTTTGGGATCCCAAATCAATGTTTCAGCTCCTATCCTCAGAACATGTGGCGAAACTCAGACAGCATCCAAAGATGGGTTTATGGAATGCTTCCATCATTGGTGACCAATCTCGGCAACGACTACTGGACAACGGTGAGCGAGACAAGTTAACTTGATTTGCGCAAAGCAATGAAGACACGTGCAATGGCTATTTTTCAGGTGCTTGATTCCGACGAACCTTGGCTTGTCGATTTTTATGCACCTTGGTGCGGACACTGCGTTCAGTTCTCTCCAGTTTATGATCAAATCGCTAAGGTAAGATAAAGGTTTCGAAATAACTGTCCCAAATTTGAACATCGACGACTCAGGCGTTGGACGGAAAAGTGAAATGTGCAAAAGTAGACTGTGATCAGTGGCCAGGAGTATGTCAAGGAGCTCAGGTAGGCTAAATCAGTTAAACTGATTCACTGAATCTCAGCGGTAGCGGTAATCAACTCTCTTACAGATACAAGCCTATCCTACTGTCCGATTTTACAAGGGCCGGCAACGAGGAAAACGGCAAGACGTTTGGGGTCTACAAATACAAGCTCAGGATAGAAATACGGTTGTGCAAGTAGTGGAAAGCCAATTAGAACAGTTACACGACGAGCTATAGGTACTAGTCCTGAATAATCAAGGCCAAATTCCGTGCTGATAGCACAATGTTTGGCGGTTTCTGCCTAGTCTAAAATGTACAAGAATATGTCTTAGCATATTACCGCAATTTCATCTCGATTTTCTCAAAAACATATCCCTTAACTATTTGACTGCCTTTCTTTAACTACCATTTAAAAGTGCTGATCTTTGCTTCTCAAAAGTATGTATGCTGAGCATAATAACGTGTTTTTGAATACGGTTTGATTTCGCCTTCTCTTGTTGTCCTTTCTCTTCTGGTTATGGTTGTACCCTTCTGTGTTGAAATCATGGATTCTCTTGATGTTTACCTAAACTCATAAAGCCATTGAGCTCTTACCTGTACAGGGAACGAAGTTACACCATCATGTTCAAGAGGAAGATTTTTATCAGATGTGTTGTCTAAAACATCTGACACAGAACCGAAATGAGCAGCCATAAGAGCGTGAAAACTTTCTTTACTAATATGTCCTCAATGGATAATAAGCAATTTCTGTCGCGGATTGGGCCCCCGGCTCCTAATGTCAGTGGTGTCCTGCATCGGCAAGGGAAGCCAGGGGCCCGCTCCGTGAAAGAGTGAAACGTATCATGTGAGGTGGCTACCTGTGTGAATGCTAATTGTGCCTGCCACATGGACCTGCCATGCACACATAGATGCCCTTGCCACCAGCCTACTTAGCGGTTACTCGACACCTGCGACTATTCCCAACCATCGACAGTTAGGGCATGGTCTTATAACCAAGGTACTACCCGGGGTCGTGCCGGCCTTCTAACAGATTTATCCCACTAGGCATGATTATAAAATACACATGAACATGGTGACACAAGATATCCCCGGAGCCACAGCCGAGCTGTGGCTCACCGCACCAAAACAAATTACACGTGCAAAATGCCCACCATTTATCCACAACAAATCCCTAAACTCAAACACAAGGGGTGAGCATAACCAGCCCGATCTTATCCTAGGGGCCGACAATATCGGAAACCCTCGTGGCGGTGTCGCCGCCTTATGCCAGGCGCGAGCGCTTACGGGGGGGGGGGGGGTGCCTGTCCTCCGTGGTGTGTTGGATGTGAAGACGCGTGAGATGGGGACGGCGCTGCATCGATCGACATGTGTGAAGACGAAACTGGGACCCACCCGCTCACCAGGTAACGAAATAGACGACTGATTTGAAAGCTGCGGCGGTAGCGATGGGAAGGCAGGGGCAGCGCGAGGACAGCGTTTCGGGACCCCTTCGCAGCGCGGCGGCGGCCTCCTTTGAAGGAAGTCGCGAATTCGCGACAACTTACAAATATGCGCGTAACTGGATTTTCGGTCAACATACAAATCAATATATTGCAATTGTAGATTTTGGTGTGGACGACTGGTAGATGAATAAGCGCGAAGCATAGCAGCTTAGAGGTGGTCAACGTTATGTCGCCGGAAGGGGTCCTGCGCAGACATGTGCAAGAAACCATGCAGCTCTACATGTCACATTCTCGTGCGAGCTGTCGCAGGAGGACCCTATCAGCGACATCGTTTGCCTGAAGATTGGGAGCATATCCTACTCAGTTGTCGATGAACCTTAGCATTGTGATTCCAGTTGTAATACAGTTTTTAAACTGTCGATCAAGGTTGGTAGCAAGACTTCAGTCTATTGCCAAAAAACACATTTAAGCGGAGATCTTTCAGGAAACCCTGAAGAAGGCGGACGCACAGCCAAAACGTTGGCTTATAGTGTGATAATTTCTTGCTACCAATCTTGGTGGACAGCTTAAAAACTGTATTACAATACGGTTAGGAGCATGGTTTTCTCTTCCAAGGTTTTGCAACTTGGTTTCATGTTTGATCTTCACTATAAAGGGTTGCACACTCCTGCAACTTCAAAATACTCACTTCAAAATATTGCTTTTTTGCATTTTGTAATTACCGTGGCTTTATCCAATGGTATGCATGTCTTCAGTAACATCGTGGGTAAAGCTAATGCTATGCTGATGTACATTTTCTACAGACTCTGACCAGAACTTGGTATTCCAATGTGTAAGAGTCTCTGCACTAACATGGTCAGAATCTACCTCGAGCATATGAGCACATATGGTGGAGTAGAACAAGCTATCGAAAATCACAGTTCTTCACAAAGAGCTCACCTGTAACAACTGACAAGTGAGTCCCGATGAGGATGACAAAAAACAGAGATAAGGAAGATTTTCAAAACAACACGTTTGTGTATCTACTGCAAACATGCATACGCGATAAAGTTTGTTAAAGTGTGATTGCTGGAAGCAAGACTGGAATCAAGAAATAAGTTCTCTAGATTGAATTTCCTTAGTGAAGTGTAAAAGACACATCGCTGGGGGTATTTACATTTGGTGTCAAGCTCTTGCAAATGGACTAAAAGTTAAAAATGACGTACAACTGAGTTTGTGAAGTGGTGCATGTATACCACATCTTTTATAGCGCCTCACTCCACATCGCTACCGTAAAGTCTCTTTCCACTACTGCGCAACACGCAGACTACAACAAATAAAAATACCGATATTAGTTAAACTACTGCATGCTACGCTGACGCAGAATCACTGAGCCTAGAATTATTCATTTCATTGGGTTTTTGAGTTGAACACGAAAAGATCCTAGAATCCACGATGAGCGGAGTATAGCGACCGTCGATAGACGCGAATAAAGCTCTTCTGGTGTTTTGCAGCTGCACCTTCCTGCCTGCGCGTTCCTGCTTGTACCGGCAGTGCGGACACATGAATAATGCTCGCCGCTCAGGTGATTCTCTTGCTGAAAGCCAAACGCTCCAAAATAGGCTATTTTCAATGGCCTGTTAGCAATTGTCTTCTGTTTCATTGGGAGTAGCGGCTGGAGAGCGGGGCTTCGAACGCTAATTGAGCCTGAGCAATGATTAGGGAGCACGCTCGCGAGAGAAGTGAGGAGCCCAGAGCCCGCCACCCACCGCACGCGATGGTACAGAATGTACGTCTCCAAAAGCGAATTTTGCCATTGACAAAGCTGCAAAGTGCGGGTGCCTAGTTAAAAAAGGTCAAAAAATGAAAATTGTCTTGCCATTATTTTCGAGCCGTCCATGTAAAAGGCTGCACTACACCATCTAATTGAATGTTACAAACTGACATAAGATTGTTCAAAGTCGAAATAGGGAAAGCTACCCCAGTCAATAAGGGTTGATTAATTGAAATGTCCTGTAATTAATACAAGTACAAGCTCAACCCTGTTATTCACAATCCTAATTCAATCCAATAATCATTACTCACGGCTAATGACAATTGGATAGGACGCCCTGTTTCTAAGTATCCGCAATGCATTGTCTGGATATGGAGCAATAAAAGGGCAAGCGGGTGATTTGGATAACAGGCAGACATGATGCTGAGCTTGCTCCTTCTGGTAGGTTTACGAGAAAGCATTGATCTGTAAGCTACGTCTTTTGAGCTCAGTAATTTTGCGGCTTTTTTCAAACTAATATACCGAAGTCGCATTCAGTTGCTCGGAAGTCTTCAGTTTCACTTTATTGTTATCCACATGAATACTGCCACATTGTTGCAAACTTAGCAATTGAAATCATTATAATAATGTGAGAACGGCGAGAATAAAATATAAAATGCTAATTCACAGGGACAAATGCGCAGCTCAGTACCTCTATAGAATGACTTTTTCTTCTTTTTTGAAAGCTCATCAGGTTGAAAATAGTCAAAACGCAGATCCGATACATTACGTTCGAGCGTTTTGCCTACTGCTGTTTTCAGTTCTGCCTCTTGAAATCGCTCGATGCTTGTGACTTTTAGTGGTATGAGATGCTCGTAAATTTTCTGCCAAAGTGAATTGATTCAGAAAAAATTGTTCATAATCTGGGTATCCGGAAGTTCAACGCAAGTGACAACTATAGAATATGAGTTCTCGGTGGCACACTCAGACTTGATAAATTTACAAAGCTTATTTGGAATTTTTACTTTCAACTAGATGGCAAACCCGGCTCCGCCCGGGGCCAAACTTTGCACACATACACTTCGGGGCAGGGAGCGTGTCATAGTCCACTTTTCGTTATCGATCGATGTCGATTTCACCGATTTTTTGCAAATTTTGAGCTACGGGGCTGGGATTTTGCACAGAGGGGTAATTGAACATGCTGATCACCCCCACGGGGGTGATCAGCATGTTCGATTACCCCCTGTGCAAAATCCCAGCCCCCTAGCTCAAATTTTGCAAAAAATCGATAAAATCGATATGGATCGATAACGAAAAGTAGCCTATGACACGCTCCCTGCCCCGAAGTATATGTGTGCCAAGTTTGGTCCCGATCGGTTCAGAAATAAAAATTTCTATCGCACATACGTACAGACAGACATACAGACATACATACAGACATTCAGCTTTATATATAAGATAATCACAAGCCATAGCTGAGAGCAGCTAATGGAATCCCTTTGCTGCTGTAGATAACGAGGTCGAGTGCATTCGTCAAAACGAGTTCAAAACTATAATCAGTTGATCGAGTGTCGTCAAAATGCACTACAAATTACTGCAAAAACCCAGCAAAAATTACAAATATGTACCAAGCCTCTTCACATCACAAAGTAGAAGCATCAAACTCACTGGAAGAAATCTTCGCAAAAAAGTCACATCTTTACAATTTATTGAGGTCCCAGCTGCCGTATTGGCGGTCGAGAAATCCGATGCTTCAGATAACACGACCGTTGCTACCACTCCTTTCCCAGGTGACTTGCTGTTTCTAGTTTATTTTTTTATTAATTTTCCACTTCTGTCTTACGCAGTATCGTTACAGTGATGCAGTCGATAAATCTCAATGTTAACGCTCCTTTCTTTTCTCTCCGTTTAAAAGATAAGCAGGAAGATACTTCTCTGAATAGAAGCAGACCAGAGACTATTGGTTCACGCAGACCAGGTAGAACGACACTTCCGCCTCCAAAGCCTGGGAGAACAAGATCAACGACTCATCTTCCAACGACAACTAGCAAACCTGAACTTCCAACATGCAAAAAGAAGCGCATTTGTAGCAGTAAGAGAAATAGTGAGGATTTCAGGGAGCTGGCCGTCGCTCTTCATAAGGAACTCAGGTACAAGTTATTTAGACTGCATAGAATCACAAGATTTACACCTACTAGCTTTTTCTATCATAGTAATTTTTGCACTAAGCGAAAACCATTATTTACTTGAACTTTTTTCTAGAGAGGAGCTTGACATTGATACATCGTATCTCTCCGACGACGGGTTGAAGGACCTGGACTTGGTAACTGATATAGAAATTTGTAATTTCTCGAAAAGCCATGTATAGAGTACAATCGCAGGTATACGACTGCAAACTGGAGAAGTTGGCCTATCAACGGATACAAGGTTGTAAAAAAGCGCTCTACAGCAGTAAAACTCATAACAGTGCTGTGATAAGAAGACATCTTGGTCAAGAAAAAGTCTTAGCATTTTCAAAGGTTTGCTTTTTTGTGAAGCCCCACAAACGGGAAAGGGAATCTCTTATTCAGGCGTTTTCCTACTGGCGAAATGGCAGAGAGAAGCGGACCAACGAAGACTTCAAGCCGCATACCGAATATGATAAGGTAGATGGAAACCAAAAAGTTTTTTGTGTCTAGAAAAATTCGCTACAGCTCTCCTGGGACTCATTGTCGGCAATCGGATGTGCAGTAAAGCAGTGCAGGAAGAGGGGTGAAAGGTTCACCCTAGTGGATTGCAAATACGATTACGAGTAAATGATCTGCTGTCTCTTCATATTCAAAAAGCAAATGTGTTTCAGGACTTATGGAGATGTACTGGTGCCGGGATAAACTGAGCGCTGCAAAGGACGGAAGGTGTATCAAGAGCTAGTAGATTTTCTCGTTATTTATTTTTTGTGTAGTTTTCAGGTTTTTAGGTTAGGTAGGTAAACTCAACAGATTGGTAACCTGTAGAGGAACATTTGAGCATGTATTGTATTTCCTTTTTTGCTGTTGTGCACTTTCAATTAGAACCATATGAATTCCTGACATTCATAAGAAGTACAAAAGTAAATTAAGCTTTTAACTGTATGAAGAGCAAGTCAGGGGCCAAACTCGTGTAGAACGAGAGTTTTTGTACATCATACAAGTTATTTCAAACTTATTACAAGTTTAAAAACAGATTATAAACCGGAGACTACGAATCTAGAGAATGGGTTCTTTGTAAAAACATGACTCTCTGCGGCTGAGTCGCATTTTTTGCCTTTGAAATCTTTATCACAGACCATGAATAAAGCGCGAGGTTGGCATACTGGACTACTCCAACTGCAACTTTCTTTTACCTCCAGCATTTTGAAATTGCTTTTGAGTCCCTGAGCGGGATAGAGACTCTGCGCACATGAAGGACAAATTGTGTGTAGCTTTTGTGCGTATATAAATAAAAAGTCTTACGGTTTGTATACTCAAAATGCGCTTACGATGAGCTACAAACATTGGAAAAACCTTTTCTTCTTATTATTGGAGTACTGCCAATTTGTACTGGAAATGCTCGAGGAATGCCTGGGAGAAGTCTATTCGGCCTTTGAAAGCTTATCTTTATCTTCAATAACCTTCTAGATGGTAAACATGAATGTGAAAGAAAGGGTAACAGTTTTAGCTAAAAAGTTTATCCTCCTTTCAAAATTGATGGTTTTCCAGGCGAGAAACTTGCAATTTCGATAGACTTAAAGGCAGCGTCCGGGCTTGTCCGGACACATGGGGAACTCACTTGGATGGTAATTTTGGGGCCCTAACCAAGTCACTGCTCAACCGGCGGCCCGGGCACTGCTCCAACGGCTAAGATATTCCCTCAAAATGGACCCCAGGATCATATTTCGCATGGAATCATGGCGTAACACGTGGGTCTTTGCGCGAAACTGCCATGAATCCATGCGAGTACGATCCTGGAGTCCAGTTTGGAGGCGCCTTAATTAGGACCCAAAATTACTTTTCACGTAAATCCCCATAGGTCCAGGCCTGCCTGGACGCTGCCTTTAACACAAGCGTGCGTCGGATACGTTACTATTTCTTTAATAGGCTAGTTTATTCGAATGACTGGCGCTCAACCCCTGTTCGATTCCGTCTTGAGTAACTCGGCAGAAGGCCTTTAAGCGGGCGCGGGTCACCGGCTCGAGAACTTTTATGTGGCAGTTTGCTTACTTCCAGTGAGAATGCTAGGCTAGTCTAGCCACAAATCATACCTCCGCTGCCGAGAAAATTGCCCCCTCCCCGTTTTGCGTGCCATTTTTGTGCGTGCTCGGACGGTTTCGGGATTCTCCTCACACCAATGGAGGCAGCATGTTGCAGTGTATACCATATTCGTAAGGGTCCCGCAACAACTCATCGCTAGTCCGAATCGAAATGAAAGGCTCTGAGAAAAACAAACAAAAAAAGTCGCTCTCAGCATTTCTGCGCTCTTGAGTGTAAAGTTTTAAAATCAACTTATTTGATGACTCCAGGTAAGCAAAAAATTTGGATCGAGGATTTGCCGAGCCACTGCTTTAGGCTGTTGTGGGATACAAACAACAGGCTTATAGGGCGTTATTGCAAATGTGCAGAGATCTAGATGTTTACATCAACACTTTCTTGTTAGTCTTTCAGTCTGTCAACTACTTTTTTTCGTCAGGTGCCGCTAGCCTTACCAAAGCTTTGATTTTGGACAGGATCCGGTGATAAATGGTTGCTTGTATCTGACTTGACAGCACGACGATTTTTTAGAGGAAATAACATGTCAAATTCGCCATTTCCGCTGAAAGTGGGGTGGACATGGCTGTGAAGGATTTGAATATAAGCCGTTGTTGCCCATCTCATATGACCTTAAAAGAACTTACACTAGATAAAGTCAAGCAAAAGTTCAACCAATTACTATCATCTTTTTCTGGAAATTAGATGAACACGCCTTTGTCGCATCGCATGTTACGTGAAACGGTGGTCGCTTTTGGCTCTTATTGGCTACGTTGGTGTATAAGTTCTAGACTTTCCAACCGTTCTTCTCATTGGACTTAGCGAGGCTCGGCATTTATTATTGATTTGCTGAAAACATTTATTTGGACTTTCGAAAGTACTAAGAAAAAACTATACGAATGAGAATTACTATAGGAAAAACGTAATTGTTTCACTGACGTTTTTCTTTCTTTCCCTTTTTTGACGAGACTAGTGCTGCATTGCGACGAGCATTGACTGCGCGAACCCGAAAGACGATGTCATTCTAGTTGATATTCCTAATGACAACATCAAATAGCGGCTAATTCTAGCAGATATTACGACAACTACTGCAGAATCCAAGACTGCGTACTTAATCCATCCGGTAAAGCTGATGACCTCGATAAGACCGGTGTTATCTATGAGATTGTATGTATCGAGTGCAGCGCCACTTATATCGGAGACTGGGGGACCACTTTGAGTAAGAATGAAAGAACCATTGCCAGCAAGAGACCGGTAATTCTTACCACCAAGGTTAGCACTCAGAGGTAGCGATACCTCAGGTCTTGATGTGTGCGATATACGCACTCTGGCTTATCATTTTAAGGACATCCAGTCGCAGAGATTCTAGTCTCCACTTATAAAGCGATTTCCTCGCTTCAGACGAAAATTAGTGCAATGCCAGTTGGGAAAAGAGCTTTACCAAAACGGACTCCATTGTACTCTACGCTTCATGTTTGCCTGAACTCCGCCTTCAAAGTCGAATGCACGAAGTTGTTCATATCGCTGTAGACTGAACGTCAGCGAGCATGGCGGCCGCCCACTGCGTGAGCCATCAAGCGCTAATGCTGAACGTAGCTCGCAGGCCACTAACCTAAGCCTGCGTCAGATATGCTCGCGAGTGTTCAGCCTACAGCGATATGGGCGATTTCGTGCAGTCGACTTTATAACGTAAAGTATGGTTAGTTTTTTTCGCGTATAAAACCTACTACTTTGCCGATAGCGAAGCGAACGATAATCTGATTGTTTTGCTGTATGACGGATTTGTCAATTCCGTAATCTTACTTCCAAAGTTAATCTAAACTAATTAGCGCACGCTTCTGCGTGTATTATACTACAAAATTCGAGAAAATCAGCTGCTAGCATTGAAATGTCGTGACCTCATTTCGGATATAATATAAAGATTTATCGCTGGCTTTCATGTTTCGGTCGCATAATTTTGTTCAATTTTTATACAGTGACCGCCAAAAAGTTGCGGACAAACCCCTCTTCCTTTTTCATCGCTCTTTTTCAGAGGGAAAACAAGAGTGAAAAAATGTAACAACTGCATGAAGTGATAGAGCTCTTCAAGATCTACAATCTACACTTTGAGTTTTTTTGAGAGACATGTGTTCTAAAAATTTTAAGAATCTTTTTCTAAAAAAAGTCCGAAAATGGCCGCGTCACAATGTCGCGGACAATAATTCTTCGAACGCAAAAATTTTCTTTTGAGTCCTATTTTAAAGCGAAAAACAAGATATCCGGACGGGTAAATTCTACTATACAGAGCTCGTCAAGAACTACACACTGGTTATGGTTGCTTCCCCAAAAAACGCAAGCTTGAGTTGTATTTTAGTTTTTTCAAAAAACAACTTCTAATTTCCTTTATCATGCCAAATTTCTTCACACGGAAACCTGTTCAAGACATCCCAACGAAGCCGTCTGGATAAAATAGATGCTCTTTGCCATTCTCTATGCATCGGACGTGTGCTGATGAGTTTCTTGGCTGAAAATGGCCCTTGGCAGTGCTTGCACGTGATCCCACCTGCACCCCACCACTGACTTGTACCGCTTTGCAGGCTTGTAACTCGGCCAGCAGTCAATATTTGAGCCTGCGATTAGGCTCATTCGAAAGAACGAGACTTCCTCTACACGATGGTATGCAAATAAGTTGGGTTTGAGAAACCCCGGAGAATTGACGGATGGGGTGATAAAACGCAGTCTTAGGGGTAATTGGAGTGAAAGCTTACAAGAAAATTGACACTTTTGAACTTCCAGGATGAAATTGGTAGCGAAAGGAGCTCTCTTCAACTTAAGCTGAAAAGTGCTTAGACTACAGCTGAAGATGGCCTTTACCACCCCATCCGCCAAATCTCTAAAATTACTCAAACTCAACTATTTTGCATACCATCGTATAGAGGAAGTCTCGTTCTTTCGAATGAGCCTAATTGCGGGCTCAAATATTGACTGCAGGCCGAGTTACAAGCCTGCAAAGCGGTACAAGTCAGTGGTGGGGTGCAGGTGGGATCACGTGCAAGCACTGCCAAGGGCCATTTTCAGCCAAGAAACTCATCAGCACACGTCCGATGCATAGAGAATGGCAAAGAGCATCTATTTTATCCAGACGGCTTCGTTGGGATGTCTTGAACAGGTTTCCGTGTGAAGAAATTTGGCATGATAAAGGAAATTAGAAGTTGTTTTTTGAAAAAACTAAAATACAACTCAAGCTTGCGTTTTTTGGGGAAGCAACCATAACCAGTGTGTAGTTCTTGACGAGCTCTGTATAGTAGAATTTACCCGTCCGGATATCTTGTTTTTCGCTTTAAAATAGGACTCAAAAGAAAATTTTTGCGTTCGAAGAATTATTGTCCGCGACATTGTGACGCGGCCATTTTCGGACTTTTTTTAGAAAAAAATTCTTAAAATTTTTAGAACACATGTTTCTCAAAAAACTCAAAGTGTATATTGTAGATCTTGAAGAGCTCTATCACATAATGCAATTATTGCATTTTTCATCCTTGTTTTCCCGCTGAAAAAGAGCGATGAAAAAGGGAGGGAGGCTTGTCCGCAACTTCTTGGCGGTCACTGTATATGCCGAACGCCTACCTGGGTCATTGACTTTTCGAGCGTGTTTGTTGCTGAACGGGTGGGAGCCAGCACTTCGGGAAGCAATTGCTAGAGGCGATTTGTTAGCCACTAACATGGACAATGTTCTCCACTCAGGCACTGCACAAGCTAACAACCACGCTTTTTAAAATAGGGGCCCTTTTAAGCAGTCTCACTTCCAAAAAAAAGTTTGCCATTTATAGAAACAACAGAGTGCAGCATTTGATTTAGCTAGGAAAGTTAAAAATAACCTGCCGTGCTTTTGTTTTTTGAGCAAAATACTTGTACAAATTCATACTACACTGCAGTCACTATCCTCAGTTGAATTTTTTTCAAATCGTACTAGGAAAATAATACAATCAGTACGTGTGCTTTCAATTAGAGTAAGCCGTCAATTACTACAGGTACAACTTTGAACTGTATTCGATAATCCTACTTTAATCCAATAAACATCAACGGCTAATGACAATTGGATAGACGTCCTATTCCAAAGTACTAGCCCCCGTGCATTGTTTGGATATGGAGCAATAAAAGGGCAAGCTGGTGACTCGAAAGACAAGCGCCATGCTGTTGAGCTTGCTGCTTCTGGTAGGTTTGTTGAGAATTCATTGGATCATCGGTAAATAAGAATACTTTTCTTGAGCTCCACAAATTTGCGACCTATACTACTATGCAAAGAGAGTAATCACTTACTATATGGAAAGAGCATTCAGTTACTCGGGAATTTCTTCTGTCTCACTATATCAGGCTAGATAGCGAGACATCATTTTGGACTCAAAAGCTCACTGCTATGATGTGTGAGAAAACGTAAAGACTTAATTTGTAGCAAATGACAGTTACCATCTTAAACAAGGATGCGATCCTTCATTGGATGGTTCCCCGTAATATTTGGATGGCGCATTGAGTAGAACATAGTGAATTGCAAAATTACTTCCGCACGCTCATGCTGTAATGTTCTTGTTTTCCACTATAATCTCAGGTCCTCCGTTCTTGTCTCTCTTACTGCTCCTGACATCTAGGAAATAAGCTAATTTGTAAAATTAACTGAACAAATAATCAACTTGATGATTATCTGGTGAACTAAACGAAAACAACACCTACTTGGTTCAAACTAGGTTTCTACGACACACACTCAGTAAGCTCCTTAAGATCATAAAGCTTGCTCAAAATTCTTTTCCATAGTATTCGCAAGGCAAAGTAATGGGGCGGGTTCGGCAGAATTGATTCGCTGCTGTCAACAAAGGGTTTGCTATGTTTTTTGATAGGTTTATAGAAAATTATCAACTTGACTATGTGCGCATCTCCGTATTGGAGAAATTCCGCAAGGAAAGCTAACATTTGAGGTTTGTTACATCCAACCAGCCTATTCGAAGCATCCCTTTGCAAAAATTCTTTGTAGAAAAACTAACATCCTCGGGTAAATTGATTTAGTAACATCTTTGGGTAAATTGATTTAGGTCTCGCCGGCAGCCGTGGTGGCTGAGACCTTCGATAATGCCAAAAATAACACAAGCGTTCCTTCCTCAGGTAGAATTTTCTTGAATGACTTATTCCAGGTAATTTTCTTCTGTTTTACGGAACATCATTGCAGCAGCGCAAGCGACGCGGCTCGATGTACTAACTTATCCACATTCCCAACCAATGGGCGATAAGCCGAAACCTCCTGCACACAAATCCCACAAACCAGAAACTATCGGTTCGGGCGGACGAGTGAGAACAACACTTCCGCCTCTAAAACTTGGCAAAACAAGAACTCCTCCTCCAACGACAACTAGCAAACCAGAGCTTCCGACATGCAAAAAGGAGCGCATTTGTGACAGCAAGAGAAATAGTGAGGAATTCAGGGAGCTGGTCGTCGCTCTTCATAAGGAGCTCAGGTAGACGCTGTTTTAGCAGATAATTCCGAATAATTACAAGATTTTAGTTATTTCATAACTTTCTCTGTCAACTCTCTCTGTGTGTCTGTCTCTTTCAGCATAGAATTTTTCTCTGTCGCACTTTTCTTTTGCACTGAGGAAAACGCGCTCACTAAAATTCAGTTTCCAGAAGAGAGCTTGAAGTCGATACATGGCATTTCTCTGACGAAGGATTGAAGGAGCTGGACTTAGTAAGTGATATAGAAAATGTAATTTGTTGAAAAGCCATGTAAAGAGTACAATCGCAGAAATATAACTGTACACTGGAGAAGTCGGCCTATCAGCGGATACACGATTGTAAAAAAGCACTCTATAGCAGTAAAACCCACAACAGTGCCGTGGTAAGAAGACATCTTGGTCAAGAAAAAGTCTTGGCATTTCTGAAGGTTTGCTTTTTTGTTGAAGCTCTTCGAACGGAAAAAGGAAATCTCTTATTCAGGCGTTTTCTTACTGGCGAAATAGCAGAGAGAAACGGACTAATGAAGACTTCAAGCCGCATACCGAATATGACAAGGTGGGAAACTAAAAAGTTTTTTGTCTGAAAAAACTCCACTACAGCTCTCATGGGACTCATTGTCGGCAATTGGATGCGCCGTAAAACAATGCAAAAAGCGGGGTGAAAGATTCACTCTTGTGGATTGCAAATACGATTACAAGTAAATCATCTGTTGCCTCTGCATATTCGAAAAGCAAATTTTTTCAGGACTTATGCAAATGTACTAGTGCCGGGATAACCTAAGCGCTGCAAAGATGGACGGATGGAAGCTGTGTCAAGAGCTAGCAGATTTGCTCGATGTTTTTTTGCGTAGTTTTTAATTTTTCAAGTTATGTAGATAGTTCAGTAGAGTGATTCCTCGTAGGAGAAGTATTTAGACACGTATTTCCTTTTTTTCTGCTTACGGTTGTACACTTTTCAACAAATAGGGTTTTATGATTTCATAATGTTATACAAAGGCAAGTTGGACTTTCGTGTACATGAGAGCATCGAGTGAGAGATTTTTTGGAGGGGATTTTTTTTGAAATTTGGCTTGATCGTGACTGGATCGGGTAATATAGGTTATTTGTGGTTGACTTGACAGCAGGACGTTTTCGGTTAAGGAAAAGAACACGGCACGATAAATTTGCTTTTTGCACTGAAGGGAGGACGTGACTGTACCATTTAATTCGACTGGCTTGGCATCGGCAAAGGCGGGGCTTCGTGACCTAATTAAGACTAGGTGATGATCAAAGAGCACTCGTGCGAGAGAGACGCAGGTGCGTCGCAGGCGCGAGCGGCCTCAATTAGATCACAAAACCCCGCCCTAATGGTGCCAAGCCAGTTGAATCAAATGTTAGAGGTCTCAGTAAAAGCCTTTGAAATACATCTTATACGACCTCGAAAGAACCTACAGTGCCGAAAGTGGACTAGGAGTTTGATCAGTTACTACCGTTTTCTCCTGGAAATTCAATAAAAACTGCTTTGTCTCTTTGCATGTTAGGTAAGACGGTGGTCGCTTTTGGCGCGTATCGGCTACGTTGCCGTAGCAGTTCTAAACTTTCCAATTGAACGCTTTTCTTATTGGACTTTGCGAAGCCCAGCACATTTTATCATTGAATTGTTGAAAACATTCATTTGGACTTTCGAAGATACCTTGAAAACTATATGAATGAGAACAGCTATGGAAAAACCTTATTGTAATCTTCTCGTTGGTTGCTTGAGCGTAGTCCAAGATTGGTACAGATTTATCGCACAGAACAGAATACAGACTAACGTTTCGGCGAACTCGCCTTCTTCAGAGTCTGAAAAGTCGAAGACACATAAGTAAACTATCCGATCAAACACCTCATCGACCACAGAAAAGAGACCAACCCCTAGGAAAAACAACAGCCTCAACCAAAACCAAGATTAAGCTAGTGCTCACCTTAGAAGATGATAATAATAGGTGGGTGCAGACCACTTATGTCAAAAACTGTACCGCTTAACTTTTATAGTTGACTAGTGACCCGGTGCTGACCTGACCTCATTATTCAAAAGCCACAGAGGCTCTGATATGGTGACAGTTCGTTAGTAATGGCTAGGCACTCGTCCTTCCGGTTGATTTTTGGATTCTGGGCGGCTATCCAAAACGCTTCGAGTGTCTTGCGCGCTAGGATCTCGGGTTCACGCGCCAGGATTCGAACCTGCACTCCCACCTCCGCGTCGTCATGGCTGAGCCTGCGATGCATGCCTAACGGAGTAGCTACGTTGCATTTGCTGAGACCATCTAAGTGTTCTTTGATGCGCGTACACAGGGGGCGCCCCGTCTCGCCAATATACGTGTCTCCACATGATGTACACGTGATAAGGTAGACAACACCTGATACCATACAGTCTCCTGCCTTTCCAAACGGACAAATCACACAACTAGGAGTTGTACAAAGACGATCATACTCGCGGTTTCGCACTAGTTGCTGTTTAAGGTTTGCGGGCGGAATGTCGACGATCCTCACCATATCGTTAAGGTCCGCTTGATGGAGTAATCTGCGAACAGCCCTACTAAATTCTTCTGAGATGTATGGTAAACAGAACGAAATCCGATCGTCAGCCTCTGATCTAGGCGACATACGGTGGACTCGGTATCTGTAAGAGTGATGAGTTTCAGTGCTGTATCCATTGGATTTTGCTACTGATCTTGCGAGCTCTAGCGAGTGCATCTTCTCGTCTCTATCGGAAGATACTACCGTAGCCGTTCTAAACATGTTTCCTATGATGGACTTCTTTATTCTTGCAGGATGTGCTGAAGTTTGATGTACTAAGATGTTCTTGCTGCTCGGCTTTCGGTACCATCTTGTTTTGAAACGTCTGTCTGACAAACATAACTGCACGTTGAGGAATGGCAGCCATCCATCTTTGGGTTTTTCCCTCGTCATCTTGATGTTCTTGTCCTGGGCATTCATGGTGTTGAAGCAAGCGCCAAGCTCGGCCTGGGTAGGGCACACGATACAGCAGTCGTCCACGTAACGACAGTAGAGCAGAGGCTTGCTCGCCAGTACTGGGGCTTCCACCTTAGACATGAAAACTATCGCCAAGGTCGGCGCTAGCCTCTGTCCCATAGCCAATCCTCTAATTTGCCTATAATAGTTGCCACACCAACGAAAGATGGAGCAGTTGAGACATTCTTTAACCAATGACAAGATGCCTCTGATGCTAAGACCATAGAGATTAAGTGAAGACTGGTGTTCTAGAAGGAGTTCGAAGGTCGCCTGCATCGCGGCGTCGTTGGAGACATTGGTATAAAGCGATTCCACATCAAAAGACTCTAAAACGCACCCTTGCCTTACATTGGTGCTGCGTAGACGATCAAGAAACATTTTGGTGTTGGAGAGATGTGCGGGGACAAATCTTAGCAGTTGAGAGAGGATAGTATTGAGAAACCAAGAAATCCTGTCCGTAGGGCTTCCGACACCGCTGATGATAGGCCTTACCTCAAAATCCTGCGGGTTATTGGACATTAAACTATCTATAGGCACTTTGTGTGTTTTGATAAGAGTGTAGAGAACCGGACACAAGGGCAGATCGGTCTTTAAACGTGTAGCAATAGCCCTAGGAATGCCTTCCGTTTTGGATAGCCGCCCAGAATCCAAAAATCAACCGGAAGGACGAGTGCCTAGCCATTACTAACGAACTGTCACCATATCAGAGCCTCTGTGGCTTTTGAATAATGAGGTCAGGTCAGCACCGGGTCACTAGTCAACTATAAAAGTTAAGCGGTACAGTTTTTGACATAAGTGGTCTGCACCCACCTATTATTATCATCTTCTAAGGTGAGCACTAGCTTAATCTTGGTTTTGGTTGAGGCTGTTGTTTTTCCTAGGGGTTGGTCTCTTTTCTGTGGTCGATGAGGTGTTTGATCGGATAGTTTACTTATGTGTCTTCGACTTTTCAGACTCTGAAGAAGGCGAGTTCGCCGAAACGTTAGTCTGTATTCTGTTCTGTGCGATAAATCTGTACCAATCTTGGACTACGCTCAAGCAACCAACGAGAAGATTACAACAATGCCAAGATTTATGGATAGTCGAACATGGATGCTTATGAATGATGTACCAAAAACCTTATTGTTTTTTTTCCCTGAAAACGAAGATGTTTCAAGCCGCTTCACCAAAAAGGTGTTTTTCGCAGGGAGCAGATTGTTGGGAGTAAACGATGTGAAGTAAAATTATAATGAAGAACAAACGTTAGCGGCAAACACGGAATTAATGGCAAGCAAGCGCTAGTGAGCAATCGCGTCAGCTTACAAGCTTACTCATCCTCTGACTGAGGCTTCGCGTACGCCTGGACAGCAACTTCATCAACGCTTTTAGTGCGTTTCGAATGATTTATTACATGCTGCTGCATGACGAATGCAATATCTTTGGGAGCGAACGCGGCTTTTGCCGCAGAGCGCGTAAGGCGCAGGAATTGCACGTGGGGATACGCGCGCGTCATTCGCGCCCGCTCAACCAAGAGTGCTTCTGCGCCTTTGTCTAGCAGTAGCTTTTATTAACATTGGTGAAAAAACATGCCCGAGTTCGGCAAGCAAAGCAAGTCCCAATATGTTCTTTCATGAATTTTTGATAGTAATTTACCGAAAGTGCGTTGTTTACTTGAAACTATTTATTGAACACTCTTTTACTTAAAATGTTTACTCAATTTTATAAAGCCATTTTGTACAGGGAAAACTTGCATAAGAAAACAAAATCACATGCGTCACTTTGAGCGAGTAACATTTTACGTTTTTCTAGAAAACACAACAACCGGATTTCTGGGTGATTTGGGTCGAATCTTTATCCGAAAGTGACACGAAACCGAAGTGGCTTTCGATAGATTCCGTAAGTCGTAACAATTACACCAACCTGACCCAAGCAAAGTACGTTTACGACCAGTATTAAAGAGTCCTTGCTGTGCCAAATCTCGCAGCGACCAAAATCGCGTGAGGTATGCCTTAGGCTTCAAAGCATTTATTGCAGAAACGGCTCGCTGTGACAATGTCACTGCTCCATTTCACATCAGAAGTGTTACTTTATTATTCCCTTATGCATCCAACGTTTGCATCATCTGATCATAATCATAGCTCAGAAATCTCCGCTTATAAGAATACAGATTTAGAAAGCGTTTCATGCCCACTAAGGGCGTGTACAGGGCTTATCAATTGCAGGGACGGGTGCACTAGCATCTCCGTTCCCGCGCGTCCGCCTCGCCTGAACTCTGCATCTCTTACGCGAGTATGCTCTCTGATCACTTTCCCACCACGAGCGTGGGAAAGGGGAGCTTTGTTTGCTAAATGGGTGTGCGCAAATGATTAGAGAGCATGCGAGCGGAAGAGATGCAAAGTCTCGGCGAGGCGGCCGCGAAGGAAGGGATGCTGCTGGTGCATTCGACACAGTGCAATTGAGCCCCGTACATCCCATCTTTGAAAGTCACTTCTTGTTCTTCCAAGATTTTTGCAATTTGGTAACATGTTTGATTTGCGATATAAAGTGTTGAACGCCTTCGCAATTGAATTACTCTTATTGTCTGAAAATCGCTTTCTTGCATTAATTATTGAGTCTGTAAAGCGGTACCTCAGGTATGACCATTATTTTCGAATTTTTTGAGCCGAACACCGCTAGCTTCCAACGTGATTTTTGAAAGAGGTCCAAGATTGAGATCAAGAGTGCAGTGAGAGTTAATGGAGATTGCCATAAAATTTTTTAGTTCGACAAGAAGGCCTTTCTATTGTTTTTGCAATGCTTGCAATTTTATGCCTATACAGTCCATCTGAACTGAAAATGCAGCCCTTCTAAAATAACTTCTTCTAGTGAGCGTTAGCCCAGTGGAAACGACTTAGAGTAATACAGCTGTCGTGACACCAGAATACGAAGCAGTTTACTATAGATGACACGGGCTGCAGTGTAGGAATATGACCCTGAGTATCATAAGTCCTTGGTTGGTGACGACGGCTACGATGACGGGGCAAACGTCGGCCCGGATGAAGAGAGCGCCACTGCTCGGGAGCTGGGATCGGAACCTCTCTAGCATAAAGTTGCTGACGCGGCCACGTCCTAAAATAGATGAGATAGCGATGGCTGACTGTAGGTTTGAATGTTAAGATTAAATTCCAGCGCGTAGCGCTACTCGTACACCTCCCCCATTTTCTTCAAAACCGTTCCGGACTTACGAGAAAAAATCAAGGAGGAGAAGAAAAGCACTCACATTGCGCGTTAAAAGAGATTAAAGATATTGATCGAGTTGGGCAGGAGTAACAACCGCATTGATCGAGGAGGACCACGTGAGGACTTTCTTCCAGTACGGCACCCTTCGTAACATGGCGGCGTTACCTATAATGAACTGACCCTGGCGACAGCATGACAATGCGACATTCATGCGTCGATAGTCATCGAAAAATTCGTCGGAGTCCGGGTCGACATCGGTTCTTGTTGTGAGTAATACGACGACTTCTTTCTCACGGCCTTGCACTGAATCGACCGTGGAGAGCTCGACCCGACCTCTTCAGCTGTGTCCCGTAGGCGGCGGTATTGTTCGCGGTAAAATGTGATGACGCAGATTGATGAAGCGTCGATACTACGGCCACGGAGGCGATCGATCATTTCAACAAATGCGGGCCTCGGTTTCGTTGTCAAGGGACTTACTAGGTGCCCGGATGGAACTGGGACAAGTCGAGGAATAGAAATGGGATCCGTGGATGCGGGAAATTCATGACGGAGAGCAGCATTTGGCGATCCTGACAATGTATCCTGCTGATCAATCGACCTTCGTAAGAGATCCGATTCAAGAGTTGGATGAGGTCTGGATGAACTTTGAACGTGGAATGGAGGGGAGCTACTGCGGCGGCGCGGGCCTTATTGAGAACGTCGATAATGCTCTGTGCACCACAGATAGCCGGATTTGCTGTTCTGGAGCACTTTGCATGCGGCTCGAGCTGATAGACGTCTCCAATATAGATATGACGAACAGATGGTAGTCGGATAGCGAGGGCTACCAGAATGGGTTTCGGAATCTGAGAGGCCTCATCGCTATGAGAACTCGGAATGGGTGAATATGTCTGGTGAAAATACCTCCCGGTGGTGTCGTATCGAGCAGCGAAGCCGTAGTAGCTAGTAGGATGTTCGGCGATCGGAGTCGGAAAAGTAGGTTGACCATCTTCTGCAGATTACGCGAGACAAACCTCTCCGAGAATAGGTACTCCTCCCTGTCCTCTTCCGTCATCTCTAGGACCTGGTCAGGGTCCTGGAGATATCGCTCGATTACCCGACGACCATCACCGTAGTCGCGGCAGAGGTTTATGTCTTCTTCCGTCATTTGGCCGCCGTATTCGGCTTCCAAGTTTGTCAGGTAGCTGCTGAGGTCGACCGGTGTTGAGTTAGTGTTGTCCGAGGCCGCTGAGTCCGAAAGATAGCGGACAGGAACGAGGTCCGGATTGTTGAATGCGAGCATAGTTTCGGCGTACTGTGCTACTGCAGCGTTCGTGGTAGCTGTGACGATAACTGGACTCGAGGCTCGTGTCAACAGAGCTGCTATTAGCGCTCCGACCAGTGTCTTCCCTATGCCGAAGACTGCCTGGATGGCGACGATGGGGTAGCGACTGAGGCCTAAGGCGACGGCTGCTCGTTGATCGGGGGTGAGAGTAACTTCTCTGCCTTTGAGGAGACACTGCACTTCCCCGTCGTGTGGGCTGAAAAAGACGGGATCGTCCGCATTAGGGCAACCGATTGTTGCTCGCCCGTAGGTAGTGTCGATCACCGCGTCGCCAATGCTCGATGGAACCAAAGCGTTGACAAGGTTCATGCATGAGATGATCTCATAGTATGGGCTGGAAGTTGTAAGTTGCTGCTTGCCAAGTCGGACACAGATATCGACGAAGGTGCGTTGCTCAAAATGTCTGCCGTAGGTGGTCATGTTACGAGCGATGGGCTCGTGTGATCAAGGAAAAGCCTGAGTAATTATTATCAGGAGGTTTTCATGGGCTCGGGTCTCGACCGACCGAATCTGAGCTCGGGAGATAGACGAAGCGCCTACGATCCACAGTGAGATGGATCGATTAGACATCCATCCTGCCTCGCTGGCCATATTGTCCAACCGAAAATCCAATCTGATAGGGTAGGCGGTCAGATTGGGAACTGTAGCGATGCCCCAGTGCGAGACTTTGTCGTCCACAAGGGAGTCGAGTGCTGCCATTGCGGCTGTAGCCAATCGGGAATCCTTCCATGTATCCGAGATAGCCTTCGCTGTGGCATTGCGCAGCTCCTTGGCCTGGTGACCCTTGACAGTTGCATCGTCCGCGACATCCACTAAAGTTGAAGTTACCTTTGAAGAGAATTCGCAAAGGTCTTCTAAAGAAATCGGGGCTACCGCCCGAGAGTAGACTGAGTACGAGATCTCGTGTGAGGAGGTCCTATAGTTGAACGTGATGTGAAAGGCAACGGATGTGGCTGAGGAAAAGATGAGTAGGATTGAGTCTACCCTCGTATATGTGTTAGCGCTCTAATCAGATAAGTATGAAAGGCTAGGAGTAAAATATCGCGAGAAGGAGATTTGTGTACGAGATGGGAAGAAACAGAGCGGCTATGTTTTGTAATGCCATCGCATATCAATGGAAGATCAGTAGCCGACGGGATAACGGAAAGAATGCCATCAGATGAACGAAGCATGAGAAAATACCAATGACGCGTTTTATCGGCGGTTGCTTGTTTCTATGAGTTTGAACATATGGCACGCTCGTAAGAAGTGAAAACATGGGAAAGTCACGGTAGCAAGATTACTCATCAGAGTTTGAATAAATGCCAAGACATGATTGAATAACAGCGCGAACAACATACAATAACAACAACAATAACAACATACAAAGATGGTAAACCAAAGGGCAAGATTGTCTCATAAGATAATTACGGTATTCGAAAATGGCAAAAGAGGGTACGATACTAGAAAAAGCGCCTATTCTCGGAAAGTTCGTGATGACTAGCTGACAAGCCGCGAAAACAAAAGGTCAGAAGCGAGCCGCAATTTGAATGACTCGAACGAGCAAAGATTTGAAAACTAGAAAGCTTTTCCTAGTGGCTAGCACGACAAAAGTCTGTATCTGGCAATTTAAGAGCGGGAAATGAGAGAAGAGGGCATTTGTAATACTAACGATGCGAAAAATGTACAGAATGAGTTGCAATAATGCCTCGAACTTGTGCAACTTCGTAAAGTGAATGACTTGAATTACGCAAAAATACGTCAAAAGGGCTCTGAATGTAGGTTTCGCTCAAAAACTCGTTGTTTACGCCCGAAATCGTAGCTTCTGACAATAAAGGGCCCAAAATGCTCGAATTCGGCATACTATAATGAATAATAGAAAGAAGAATGATGTAATTATTAGGAAAACTAGGTTGAGAGCAACGCCGAATAAGTTGCGATGATTAGCAGAAAAAAATAGTGCATCGGAAACTACATTTCAGAATTAATGCTTACTATGACTCGCCCTGTGCCCGCGAAACGTACGGAGCGTGCCAACGGTCCTGTTGATATAGCGCCGCCTCTTTGTTCCCTTGAACGGTGGATGGCGCAGCACGAATAGCATTTCCTCGCGTGCAACCCATGAGATCCGACTCCCCTCCGGGACCGGCTGGTGATTGCAAAAATTACACGCGGATGTAGTAGCAATACTATACGGAGAGCATTGCACACCCCCAAGTGAAACTCACAAGCCGATAGCAGCGCTCGTCCGCCGTTTCTTGGGGGGCTTTGCGCCCCCTGAACCTCGAAAGAGAGGAGAGGGGTCACTCGCACTCTATACGTTAAGGGGGTTTTGCAGCGTGAGAGTGAGCGAACAAAGAAACTGTGCGAGGCGCAATCGCGGCAAACAAAGCTAACATATCGACGCGACGGCCGCGCTTGGAAACAAGCATGGAAAGACGAAATGAATAGACCGGTCACTAACTAACTAATTCGCATGCAATCTATTAGGGTGATCCAAAAGTAATGGGGCACCTTGATTTTTTGAACATTCTTCAAGATCTCTTTCTGATTAGCTTTGAACAATCAGCAATTTGAACGCTTTTGTACAAAGTGACCTTCGCAGGTTTTCTTGACAGCACCTTGCAGCATTTCACCGACATTCCTTCGAGCGGCGCTTTAAAGAAATCAGACAGATTTTTTTGAACGCCGTCCGAATTTGTGCTGCTGCACCCAAAAGTCTCTCGACATATGGCATACCATTCGAAAGAGCTTTCCAAGCTCTTTCTAATGATTACCTGAGTATTTAAAAACTGCCTATTATTTCATACAAAAAAGGCACTTTATTCGAGAAAGTGCGGTGTTCGGCGCAGATTTTCAAACTAAAATTCATGTTTAGGCCCACAATTTTTTGAAAATGAGAAAAATCGAAGTAATCTGCATATGTGTGGATACAGCGTATAAAGCACTATCCGAAAGCAACTGCTAAGTTTGAGCTTATTTAATTACTTTGATGAAAGAATAAGTAATATGTCTCCTGATACTTAATGCTATATCTTCTGTTCTAAAGCTTTGGGACCACCGACCTACCGTGGATTTGGTGACAGTCCCCTCACCCACTGCTGCGCAGATATCTTTGGTAGGCTCACTTGTTCTACTGCGGCGCTGCTGCTCAAAGTTCGAAACTACTTGAAGTGATGAGCTTTAATCTTAAGCGCTTATAAAAATAACGCCATGTGATAGTGCCCAACTATAGACAGGGCCCGGCACGAGCTTGTCAAATGACAAGCTGGAAATCGTTTTCGGCCAAAAAAGCAAAGGGGAAATCGTTTTTGCGGGGTCCGGGGCGGAGCCCCGGAAGAAAAATTGATAGTCATGATGGCAAAGTTATCTTAACAAGCCATCTTATCTTAGCGTATCTTAACATGTTATGTGCCTCAACAGGCGAACACCGGAGTTCGCGCGCGTCAAACCGCGGCGTCGCTAGTTGCCGCACGCGCGACGTCTCTCAAGAGATGATTTGTAACAGCATACATGATTAGTTCTCAGTGTATGCGAAACGATATGGTACCAAATTTTGTAAGCAAACGGAGAGAGGCTAGTGGAAACATAGTGTGAAAAATTATGCAAAACTTATGTGAACGAAGCGAGTAATAAGCATTTTTTCTGAAAATTTTGCAATATTGGTAAATGAAGATGTGAATTCAAATGACTCGTTTGCAACGCGCAGACGACGATATGGTATGAAACTTGGTAGGTATATGGACACAAGCCTGTAGGAGTTAACATAGGAGTTTCATTGAAAAATTATGTGACTGAAGGCTGTGGCAAACTTTTTTCTGAAAATTTCCCGCTACCAAAGAAATGGAAAAATGGCTCATTTGCAACGCAGAGGCGACGAAATCGCGCGGGATTCGGTGTGTATATGCGCAATAGGACTAAGTAACAAAGTATGAAAAATTATGAAAAACTTATGTGAATGAAGAGTTTCCTCAACTTATTTCCAAATTAGCTTGTCATTTGACAAGCTAATGACAAGCTGAGCTTGGCAAAACTCTCAATTCACATAATTTTTCCAAAATTTTTGCATAAATCTACTCTACGCCTAAACATTAGTATATACTGAAAATTTGGTCCCAAACCTCCTCCTCTCCCCATTGCTAGAGGCAAAAATAGGCTCAGCACCCCCGTTTCCTAAGGAGGAAAGCGCGCTCCAATCGATATGCGCGACGGCGTTCGTATAACCGACGTTTCTGTAATGTTTCTCGTCTCTCTTGCCTTTTTCTTTCCCTTATAAGGCTTTTCCGTCCATTTTAGATAGGAAACTCTTTCGCCATCAGTTTTAGGTGTAGTTGTTCTTTATGCGTTGTTCATTATCATTTGTTTTGTTCATTTGCTCTTGAACTTGCCTAATGGTTTATGTTGCTGGCGTCGCTTGTTCCTTATTTGTGCCCTTCTCAATTCGAAAACTATCTTTAGAGAGGGCTTCGGCTTGCACTTTTTGATATCTTGTTTGCACTCAGCTAGCTGCTGTACTTTTATCTGGTCCTGTGTCGTTACCCGATCCCTCTTGCTGTTCATTTCACTTCCCTCGGTTTCGCAGCTCTCGATTTTTCATCAGCTAGTAGTCCCATACAGTTTTGTCATATTTGCGGGAGTTTCAAACTCGATCGTGTGTTGGTCGTAGTCTCCTGAATTGCGGATACGTCTTACATTTCACGAGATCTTTCTCATTTAGGATACTAGATAGTGGTGTGGATGGTAGTTCGCCTTTTCTGAACGCGTCAATGCTGCGGTGCCTTCAGAAGTTTTGGAATGGAAGCTAACGACATTGCATTTTGGTTGAAAATGTAGGATTTCGACAATATGTTGTTCCTTTTGCAGACTAAAAGGTAAGCAACAGTACTTTTTTCTTTGTTTTGAGTTTTTTTCTTTGTTACGAGATTTCCTTGTATTTCATTTCGATAATATTTCTTTCTTTTTTTGGCCACAAACTGGTCACTCTATGGTAGGCTTCGTTGGGAGGTTATGGCTGGTCATACTGATTCCCATGTTCCGGAACTGTTCCCGCACACTTCTCACATTGTGCTGGAGCTGTTCCGGAACTGTGCTGCATGCTCTGCAGCTGCCCTGCCCGTTTAGAACGGCGGGAGTTGGTGACTTTTGACCGTTCTCAACGGTTTTTCTGCCAGATTTCTCTCATTTTGGCCTTATTCCTCCACCCCGCTTCCCTTTTTGATCAGCAGAACTTTGAACTCAAAGCGGGGTCGAAGAATGAGCGTTTTCTGCTCTGAGTATGCGACAAAACGTGTGTACTTGTGCTCGTCCATTCTCTCTTCGCTATTTTTCCTCAAATCTACTTCACTTGTTCCAGGACGCCCACGTAGTTTCCATAGCCACCTGCAACGAAGTAGAAGCACCTGCAATTCTGAAGTTGCATTAATTGGGACTTGTTTCTTGTTTTTGATGAGTTTCGTTTTTGGGCGTTCTCAGCCCCTTTCCTTTTTCCATATCGTTGCTTCTTCGTTCTGTCTTCTACCCCGCATCTCCTTGAGATGAGAAAAGCTGCGAATTTGAAGCGGGGTTGAGGATTGAACACTGTTCTGCTTCATGTATCCGGGAAGATGGGCCTTCGTGCGCTCGTCCATCTTCTCCTCCATTTTTGTGCAGGCCTACTTCATGTGTTCTAGAGACATGTCTATGTCAATTTCAATACATATGGGAAACTACGCAGCGCCTTTCTAGAACAAGTGGAGTAGTTTTGAGCAAAAATCACGAAGAGAGAATGGACGAGCACAAGAGCGCACGTTTTGTCGCATACACAGAGCAGAAAAGCGCTCATTCTCCAACCCCGCTTCGAGTTCGAAGTTCTGTTGATCAAGAAGGGACTCGGGGTAGAGGAATAAGGCCAAAGTGAAAGAAGTCTGAAAGAAAAGCCGTTTGAGAACGGTCAAAATTCTCCAACTTCCGCTGTTCAAAACGGTGCGGGCGGCTGCAGCGCTTGCAGCACAGTTCCGGAACAGCTCCAGCACAGTGCGAGAACTGTACGGAAACAGTTCGGAATTAGGAATCATTATGAACCCAGCCTATTGTCGTTGCGTAAAGCCTTGGCCACACTTTACACCATTTCAGTTGCGACACGATTTCACCTATTCGATTGACCAAAACTCATCGTGCTCGCATTCTAAACATAAATATTTGGGCCTTTTTCAATTTACCTTGTATGTACCATGCATTTGCGATTTGCCAGTGTTGGATTTGATGACATTTGACAAATTGCTACACTGCGTGGGGATCTGGCAGCTGGCAACAATCGCGTGAGGTATAGCCAAGGCCTAAGAAAGCCTTCAAACTGGGTCCGTTGCGATTTTTGCAGCCGGTTGCCATCATGGTAGCCAGTGTCTTCCGCTTTCCTTATGTCAGCAGATGTGGTTAGGACGTGCATGTTTGCATCTGTTCTTAAACCTACATCCAGCCTCAATTAGGTTTTTTCCAGTATAGATATGATACACTGGCCGTTAAATGGTATCGTATCTTGAAATTCACATTCAGATTGATGGCGCAACCCTTCTTATGTCAATAAAGCTCCCAACGAGGTCCTCCGTTGCCAATGCAGATGACATGAAAAGGCCTAGATGAGCAATCTAATTTCAAGACTGTAAGATTATCTTTTGTTGTGGTTGATTTATGGCACTTTCTTTATTCCAGTCTCATTTTTCTGTGCTGACCTCCAACTGGTGTCGAGATCCACAAGATGATTCACCATTATGTGTTGAGCTTTTCAAGTTGACCTCATTGAACTTTTCTGAATAGATTTTTTTTTGATAAAATATTTTTTTTCATGGTGAACTATTCGCCGCACAAGCACAAGAACTGGTTTTTGGTTCAAGGGGGTATTCGTAAAAAAATTTTGGGGTCAAAGGGGAATTCGTTTCCGAAAACCCCTTTTGACAACCTCGTGCCGGGCCGTGACTATAGACCTCGATCAGAAGGTTTTGTTATGTACTAACATCTGCCAAAACTTGGACTTCCAATTAGCTTTTCTATTTGAAAAAACTGCATTTATTCCAGAGGTGCCCCATTACTTTTGGATCACCCTAATAATTTACAAGGTACCTTAATTCG